TCCTTGGGGCAGCTTCTAGCATGGGAAAGGGAGGTAAAATGCACATTTCATGGACGGGGAGGAGGTGAGGAGCCGCCGGTTGCCCAGGTCCAGCTTGGCTTTCAGCCACTGGTTATGTCATCTCAGTGACCTCCTCTGACAGGCAGGCATTAGGAGCAGTGGGATTTCAGAGGAGGAAGTCATTCTTGTAATCGTGTCCCTCACTGGCCAAAACCACACCCTTCCCCCTCGACTCCATCTTAGACTTTTTGTCACAAATCCTGTCACTTCTCCTTCTTAAATATCTTTCATATCCTACCCACATTCCTTAGTTCAGACTTTTGTCATTTTTAACCTATATCACTGTTCTCAACTTTTTTGATCATTCACCTTATTAATACTAAATATTTGAACAGATATCCTCCAACATATGTATACATTTTTATAAAATATGCTACATATCCAGTTATCAATACAAGATGGAAAAATGCTGACCATCATTACTCATTAGGAAAATATAAATCAAAAACAGGAGATGCCACTTTATACTCATTAGAGTGGCTATAATTAAAAAAATCTTTCAAGGAAAATAATATGTTGGTGAGGATGTGGAGAAATTACCACTTCGGTATGTTGCTGGTGAGAATATAGAATGATGCAGCTACTTTGGAAAATAATTTGGTGGTTCATCAAATGATTAAACATAGAGTTAACATGTGACCCAGCAATTCCACTTCTACTTAGATAGCAGGAAAATGAAAACATAAACCCACACAAAATCTTTTACACAAATGTTCATAGCAGTCAGGGGTGGAAATGGCCATCAGCTGATGGATAGATGAATGAAATGTGATATATACATACCATGGAATATCATTCAGTTGTAAAAAACAATGAAGTACTGGTACATCCTACAAAGTGGATGAACCTTGAAAACTAAGTTAAAGAAGGCAGTCATAAAAAGAAACGTGTGATTCCATTACAAAAGGATTTCTTTTAGGGAAACTAAAATGTCATAAAATTAAATTGTAGTGATGGTTGCACAACCCTGTGACTACTAAAACTTATTGAATTACATACTTTAAATGGGTAAATTGGGGGCACCTGGGTGGCTCAGTTGTTAAGCGTCTGCCTTCGGCTCAGGTCATGATCCCAGGGTCCTGGGATCGAGTCCCGCATTGAGCTCCCTGCTTGGCAGGAAGCCTGCTTCTCCCTCTCTCACTCCCCCTGCCTGTGTTCCCTCTCTCACTGTGTCTCTCTCTGTCAAATAAATAAAATCTTTTTTAAAAAATAAATAAATAAATAAAATGAATAAAATGGGTAAATTGTATGGTTTGTGAATTATCCCAATGCTGTTTTTTAAAATTCTTCCCAGTGGATCATCTTGCTTGGCTTGCACACAACCCACTTTGAAAAACTCTGACAGACTATTTGTATAACCACTTGAGATCTCTCTTCCTCCAGTCTTGCTTTTCTCTAATCCCTCCTTCACAGTTGTGGCTAAAATATGACTCATGTACTATCACTTAAACATAATTGACTCCCTTTCGCCAACATGATGCAGTCCACACTCCTTGGCATCGCCTTAAATGGTTGACTACACATTTCCAGAATAGATTTTGTATTCATTTCTTAGACATCTGCATTTAACATATATTGAGTACTCAGTAAACAATGAAATCATGTTGAAGTTATGCAGAAGCTCACTAAACCGTTTAAAGTCTTTAAATCTCGGGGCACCTGGGTGGCTCAGTCGTTAAGCGTCTGCCTTCGGCTCAGGTCATGATCCCAGGGTCCTGGGAGTGAGCCCCACATCGGGCTCCCTGCTCAGTGGGAAGCCAGCTTCTCCCTCTCCCACTCCCCCTGTTTGTGTTCCCTCTCTCGCTGTGTCTCTCTCTGTCAAATAAATAAATAAAATCTTTTTAAAAATATAAAAAATAATGTCTTTAAAAAACATAAAATGATAAAATCTTTCTGATGGTGCCTTCAATAATAGGTCAAACTGACTTAAAGCAGATGTTCTGTATTCTAAATTCCATATAGCTTGGATTTAGAAGGCTACAGTATTCAGCAATTTGACTTGTAAGTTTCCCCGAAGATTCTTAGAAATGTCATTACCTTGTAAATCATCTATCTACTTTAAAACAGTACAAGGAAACAGTCTGAGCCCTCCCCTTTTTACCTCCCCTCCCTTCTTTTTTAAATTATTTATTCAGCTACTGTTTGCTGAAGAACCTATATATCAGGTACTATATTAGGTATGTGGGCATTATAAAGATAGCTAAGATGATGGTCTTGGCTCTCAGCTAATGAGAACTTAAGGAATATGTTAATGTTATTCGGGTACTATACAAAAACTATGCCATATACTATCTTTTTTGCTCAGTACTGCACACTGGAGGATTTGAGAAAAAGGAAAAAAATAATTTCCCTTTTCTGCCTTTAAAGAGCTTGTAATCAGTAAAGGAGATAAAATTCACGCATAAGTAGTATAGACTTTTAAGTGCTATAGTAATACAGAAGTGGAAGAGATTGTGAGATCTGGAATAACACTGGTTTTCAGTGAGTATCAAATTTTGTCAAAGATATAGAACAATGTGAATTTTTAAGCCTACTATGGAAATGTAAACTGGTAGAAACACTTTAAGAAAACAGGTTAATGTCATCTTAAAGATGTGCATATTCTAAAACCCCAAAATTCTACATCTTAGTGATTACACTGTAGAACAATTCTTGCCCATATTCACTAGGCAGCATGTTCAATGTAGTATCGTTTATAATAGCCTAATGAAACCCCAAAACAACCTAAACATCCTTCAGTGAAATTCTAGTATGTCCTATACTTAAAAGGAAGAAACTAGAACATATGTGTGAGTAAATCGTAAAAACATGTTTAGTGAGAAAACAAGTCACAAAAGGAAACCTATAAAGTATAAAAACCTGTAGAACATACTCTCTATTTTTATGGATCCTTATATGTGTATAGGAGTAGCATAGAAAAAGAATTAGATTAGGATACCTGGGTGGCTTAGTCGGTTGAGGGGCAGACTCTTGATTTCGGCTTAGGTCATGACCTCAGGGCTGTGAGATCAAGCGTGCTTAGTGGGGAGTCTGCTTGAGATTCTCTCCCTCTGCCCCTACCCCTGTGCTCTGTCTCTCCAAAATAAACAAATAAGGGGGTGCCTGGGTGGCTCAGTCAGTTAAGCGTCTGCCTTTGGCTCAGATCATGATCCCAGGGTCCTGGGATCAAGCCCCATGTCAGGCTCTCTGCTCAGTGGGAAACTTGTTTCTCCCTCTCCCTCTGTGCCTCTCCTCCCCCCACTCCCCACTTGTGCTCTTGATCCCAAGACCCCGGGATCATGACCTGAGCTCAGATTCATAATGTGGCATATTTCTATACATATCAATAGATGATAGATAGATAGATAGATAGATAGATAGATAGATAGATGATAGATAGATAATATACTCTCACATCATAAATTAAAATTAGGATTTTTTTCACCTCTAAATTATTCTACTAGATTTCAATTACAAGCTTAAATTGACAGATTTATTACACAGTTGCTTTAGGGTTTAAATTCTTCATCATCTGGCAACTATGTATGCTGATCTTGGATTTAGATAGTAATTTTAATTTATAAAAATGCCATATGGAAAAAATTCAGCTGGGAATTGTGATGATGATGTGTTGTACATGTTAATTTTTTACCTTTAACTCTGCTTGTGATCATCTAGAATGACATGAATTTGGGAAGCAGAAGGGGAAAACTCATCTTGTTTGTTTGTTTTTTAATGCCATGCCTTTTATGAGGAATACAAATTGATATGTCCTAAAATAAGAACTTAATAAAGGAGGGAAATCCCTTTTGTCCACTATTTTAAAAAAAATAAATAATGTTGTTATTATACAAAATATATTTATCACCTAGTTTAATCAGTTCCTCTTCATTTACTTTCATCCATTTATATCTTATTGTACATGTAAAATTTATATTCAACAAGAATTTGGATAATATATATATATGAAAGTAGAATAGTAAAACAGCAGTCATACAATTAGAGGAATGCAAGAAAATTTCAGTCTCTTTGTTTCATTTTTAAAATGTTGCCATAGGGTTTGATAGTGTCCTTCATTATTGTAAGGCAATAAAAATGGTACCCCTATAATGGAAGTTCTTTGACATGGGATCAACCATGTTGCATTGGTGCATGGTGCCTATAGTAAGGCTGTTCAGGCAAGAATTGCTCTATAGGTACGTTTAATTGAATCACTACTTTGGGTCAATAAGATTTAGGAGGTCAGAACCTCTACTATTTTGGAGGGGAAAAGCATAGGTTGCTTCATTTTTTAGAATATTATCTGATAGGGATGCCTAGGTGGCTCAGTTGGTTAAGCATCCCACTCCGTGCTCCACGGGGAGCCTGCTTCTCCCTCTGCCTGCCACTTGCCCTGCTTGTGCTCGCTCTCTTGCTCTCTCTCTCTCTGATAAATAAATAAATAAATAAATAAATAAATAATAAATAAAATCTTTTAAAAATATATATCATCTGATAGCTTACAGAGAATTATTTCTTGGTGGCATTGCTTGTCTCAAAAAAGAAAAAAAAAACTAAGCAGAGAGGCTCTTCATTCATTGCAACAGACAGGGAAATTAGCAGCATTGCTGAGTGGACAGGAAATGGAAAAGCCAAATTTTGTGGGACTCTAAGGATAGGTACTTACCTGGTGCCATGCCTATTGAAGTATTTCTTAGGAAGCCTGGTCTCAACTCCATGACAGCTACACTTGATAAGGGGCTCTGAAAGTATTTGGTTTTGTAACAAGGGGCCTAGTTGTCGTTTTGCAAAGGTACATGTGAATACTAGCTTGAGAAAGTTGGTAAGATGTACAGCAGAGGCACATTGGACTGTTTTGATGAATTAAAGTCATTCATCATAAGGGATTTTGAAAAGTACTCTATGATTTTCTTATTGATTTATTTTCTGGATGCTCTAAATAGCTTAATAATTTCCTGCAGGAGGAACAGCTGAAATCTCATGAAAGCAAGCTGAAGCAGATTACCACTGAGCTCGCTGAGCACCGCTCTTATCCCCCAGACAAGAAAGTTAAAGCCAAGGAGATAGATGAATACAGACTGAAAGATCACTATCTGGAGTTTGAGGTATGTTGAACCTGAATGTAATAAATGCCCATATCTAAGTTATCTTACGATTTTTCCATGAGGCAACTTTTTTTCAGCTACCGTAACTATAGGAAGTGTACCTTGACCCTGACTCTAACTTGGGAGCTCCAGGCATGGTCTAGATCATGGTGGCCTCCCATGTTCAGGATTCTATATAAGCATCAAACATAAAAGTAACTGTCAGTTTATGTGCTTAAAAGCAAATAGCCTGCCTGGTTGGGATAATGTATGCCTGCTGTGAGAAAAAACAACAGTAGATGGACATGCCAGAATGGGCAGCTGCTTTCCATATGTCTCTGTCTCTTCCAGCAGAGTTTGAGTCAAAAATAATAAAATAAAAATTAAAAAATACAGTAGAGGGAATGAGCTACAGGGGGACATGACATGAAACAGCTTCTTCCTGCATATTCTTGCTGTTGGGCAACACTGATGCCTTTATCCTCTCCCCACCTGTATCCTTCAGAAGGAGATTGATAAATAGATCAATTGTGGCACATCCGTCTCTGCACTGTGTATAGCAAGTGTGGTTATTAAAAAGAATAGGGAGGATCTATAATCTCTGGAAAGGTGAAAAATGCAAAAGCAAGTTGAAAGAAAGCAGTATATATAGCAAATGTTAGCTTTGGCTACATTTCTCCCCAGTTAGACAGTGTTGTTATAGGAAAAAACTTTAGGGTTCGAAGTCAATGGCCAAGAAAGAATTCTTGAGACATCTTTGGTACAAAAAGGTGGTTTTATTAAAGCTCGGGGACAGGACTGGTGGGCAGAAAGAGCTGCACCGGGGTCATGAGGAGTGGCCCGTTACATACTTTCAGGGTGGGAGCGGGTTAGGGATAAGAATCTAAGGAATGTTGGCAGCAAGGTTTCCTGGACCTTGAGGGGCTAGCTGTTGTTGGGAAAAGGTCATTTATTACCGTCTAATAAAACCTTAGTCATGAGACCCTTCAGAAGTATATCAGTGGGCCATATGCTTGGGGGATGATTGCCAACACGTATCTTGGTGGGTAGAGATGTTTCCAAAGGAATTTTTATATGTTTAAGTAGACTTATAAGGAACCTGGGGGATTGTTGCCCTTAAAGTATTAACATTGAGGCAGTTGAGTCCCTAGAGGAATGTCACTCTGCCTGTTTCAAGGACTTGTCAGTGGGCTGTAGGTAGTAAGGAAATTTAATAATTTTTCTTCTGCCTTTGTTTCCCACATCAAGTGGCATTCGTCTCTTCAGCAGTTGCCTTGATTTTCCCCTACAACTACCCCCACAATTTATCTTATGAATAAAGTCCTAATCCTTAATTTAAGAGGATTTGGGTTCTTTGTTTCTGCCACACTGGTCTTTCCACAACAGCCTCCATGTATGTTAGTCACATTTCTGCCCACTATCTCTGAGCACACTTTATGCCTTTATGCCGTTGTTCATCTACTTTCTTCTGCCCCAAGTGCTCTTCCCCTCATCTTCATTTCTGAAAGTCCTCTTCATCTTTCAAGATGCAGCTCAAATCCCTCCTGATGTAGTTTTGGAATGTTGTTGGGGTCCGGAGCCAATGGCCAAGAAAGAATTCTTGAGATGTCTTTGGTGCAAAAAAGGTGATTTTATTCAAGCATGGGGACAGGACCAGTGGGCAGAGTTGTGAGGAATGGCTGATTATATACTTGGAAGTTAGGGGAGGTAAGGAGAAAGTGAGGTAGCCAAAAGGACTTTCATATGCTAAAGAAGACTCTCAGCATGCTGGAGGTCTGGCTATTGTTATGTTAAGGTGGTTCTTCCTTCTAGTAAGGTATTAACATTAAGATAGTTGGGAGTTTTCTGGAGGAATGTTATACTCTGCCTGCTTCAGGTATTGGTCAATGGGATGCAAGTTATAAAGAAATTTAATTTTATTTCCGGTCCCTTTTGCCTTTGTTTCCCACATCACTGTGGAGGGGAGGGTGATGTTAGGGCTCCATGAAATTGAGTCTGTGGGTTTCTGAAAGTTAGGCTATTGATAAGACTGCTTTTTCCTTGTAAATCACTAAGACGCTTATAAACTGATAGGGACACATACCCTGTAGGGCTGTGATTTCTATTAGTTAACCATTTGATTTTTTCCCTTCCCTTAGTTTTAGGGCAGCCTGGAGTGCCTGAGGAATGTCACACAGATCCCATCTTGGGGGGAGGCTGGTTGCTGGGTGTTCGCTTGTGCTTTGTCGTCTGCTTGCCTTCTGCTCCCTCCTCACCTCCTATGAAAAGCCTCCTCTAAATCTATTAGCTGGGTTTAATCTGTTACAGTCTTTGCCACAGTTGGCATTGTATTAAAGTTTCTCGGTATGTCTTTGTATCTCTAGTAGCTTCCATTACACCTCCCCTTGCTCAAGATGGTAAGGCCTTGGGGTACAGAGACCTCAAGTTCATTTCTAATCTTTGCTTCATGTTTGCATATTGAATTGGACAGGAGCTCATGGAAGCTTAAAAAAAGTATCTTCCAGAGTTACAAAATTTCCATTGTAAGATGTGGCATTTGATCCCTGCAGGTCCAGGGACTGGTTTTCTTCATGGTTTGAGCAAGCCCTTGCTCTGGGGAGATGAAGAAAAACCATTATTTTAGTAAAGGTTAAAGTTTATTAGCAAAAACTGTGGAAGCCTTGATGCGATTTGAAGTGGGCTTCGGGAGCAAAAGGTCAAGAAAGAATTCTTGAGGCGTTTTCGGTGCCAAAAAAAAAAAAAAAAAGGTGGTTTTATTAAAACACAGGGACAGGACCCAGGGGCAGAAATAGCTGCACTGGGATTGTGACGAGTGATTGGTTAGGAGGGGTAGAGACAGAGGAAGTTTCCAAAAGGATTTTTGTATGTTAAAGAAGCCTTAAGGATCCTGGAGGCCTAGCTATTGTCAGGCTAAGGTTGTTTTTCCCTCTAGCAAAGCATTAAAATTAAGACAGTTGGGAGTTCCTTGGAGGAACTCATTCTCTGCCTATCTTAAGTCTTTTGTCAATGGGCTGCAAGTTATAAGGACGTTTAATTTTTTCTACATTTCTTGTGCCTTTTTCTCCACATCGGCCTCACCAGCAAAAGACTTGAAAAATATTTTTTAAAAAACAAACAAAAAACCTAAGCAGCTCATCTTTGTTTCCCTAGGCTTGTTCATTCTTGAGAAATGGGAATATCTCAAAAAGCAATTATAATTCTTAACACTTCTAGAGTGGCTTTCAGCTATAGGCCCTTTTATTTTCACACATGCTAATTAAATTTCCCAACACCTCAGTCCCCTGTTTCCAGTACTCAACAACTTACTTTGAGCCCTAGACTTTGAAGGCTAAGAGCCTGTTCCCAGGAGATGGGGGTGGCTGCAAGACCATGGTAAGGTTGTCACTGCAAAAAGCACTCCTTATTTTTTAACCTACTGTGGTACCCCTTTTCCAAAAATGTAACCTAACAAGAACAGCATTTTCATTTAATGACATGGAACTTAGACCAAGCTTTGTGGAGATAAGTCTTGCTTTCATCACATTGTCACCTCAAGGAACCTGAAGACTGCATTCCACAGCCCCTGGCTCATTAAAATCCATACTCATATGCTAATATGTCAGGCATGACGGATTGTCTCTTAAGCTGCCTTAACCTGTGTCTACCAGGAATGTAGAACGGTATATGCTATCTAGACAGGTTTTTGTAAAAGTAATCCTTTTTAAAAAATGAATTATTATTTTTCATTAACCTGAAGTAGTATAACTTGTGGAGTCCACTTTGCTCTTCTTTCAGCCACCAGAATTTTTCGTGTGTGTGTGTGTCTGCACACGCACACACATTTATGGAGATCTTTTGTGTAGCATTAAGTACTCTGCTTTATGACCAGCATTCCCTGAGTAGACTGCTTCGTTCCCTAATTGAATCTAATCTCATTCCCTGAATAGGGAGTGTGAGAGTGATTGATCATTTTTTATATTTTCACTGCTTTGTCCTCACTTTCTGGGGCATGCAAATGAGTGCTCAATACATATTTGTTGAATGAATGAATGGAATTTTGTTATCGTATATAAGAGATAATATCAAAGAAAGTAGTTCCCTGAGACAGCTTCGTAGGTCCCCTGAAAGCACATCTGATAGGCAGGTGTGAACAGACAGCACCTTCTATAGTTCAGTGTGAACCACAAATGGGCAGTGACAGGAATGGGAGTTTCAATCCCATCTGCATCCTGTCACCAAGAAGAACCACAGTCAGAAAGGAGCTCTTTCACCTATTCCTGGAGAAAGGGCCTCCCTGTGGTTTCAGAACACAGAAAATTCTTATGATTTTTCACATCTTCATAAAGAAAAATGCGTTTATTTTGTTAGAATATTAAGCTTTTAGTAATTACACTGGGAGTTGTTCCTAAATTTATGCATTTCAGTTTTTTATATCCCAAGTTGCTTTCAATATAACAGTTCTTCATGGTGGGCTGAATTCACAACTCTTTCTGTGCCTGAGAAATATTCTCTAATCAACAACAGCCAAATTCTGGAAAGAGCCCACATTGTCCGTTGACTAATGAATGGACAAAGAAGATGTGGTATATATGGTATGTATGGTGTGTGTGTGTGTGTATGGTATATATATATAGTGTATATATGAATATAGAGAGTATATATTTTATTTATATATATATATAAAATAGTGGAATAGTGGAATATTACTCAGCCATCAAAAAGAATGAAGTCTTGCCATTTGCAACAATGTGGTTGAAGCTAGAGTGTAGTATGCTAAGTGAAATTAGTCAGTCAGAGAAAGACAAATACCATATGATTTCACTCATATGTGGAATTAAACAAAACAGATGAACATGGGGGAAAAAAAGAGAAGCAAACCAGAAAACAGACTCTTAACTATAGAGAACAAACTAAGATTTCCTGGAGGGGAAGGGGCAGGGGAGAGCTAAATGGGTGATGGGTATTAAGGAAGGCACTTGTGATAAGCACCAGGCATTATATCTAAGCAATGAATCACTAAATTCTACTCATGAAACTAATAT